AAATTTGATAAGTTATGAAAGGGACATAATATACAAAAATATTTTTAATATAATTTATTTTTGTCATCGTAAAAGTAATTGATTTTTTCCATTGCTCTTACCTAGTTTTAATAACAAAATACATGATTTGAACTGTAAGCCTTTCCAAGTATCAAAAGTGAAAGATATCTGCTACATTATGTCAAACAAAAACTGTACTAGTACATAGAGATATATATCTGAGAAGCACTCACTGCCTCACAAGTTCTTTCTTACACTGTCAATTTTCAAGGTCATTCAAGGTCACATATTTCACCTTGGTTCCACAGCATACAATTAATACATATTGCATTGAGTCTGTTAGCTATTTATACAAGTTTTTTATATGCAACTCAATAGATCAAAGATGACAAATTACCCACGATTCCACACATAATGATTGTACCAAGCTGCCCTTCAATGTAGACCTAAGCTCTTGGTTCGGAAAAAAAATCTACCGAATCTCTCTTTCTTGCACATGTTTTGAGCTTTGAGACGTTGACAGGTACTTGTGAAACTGATTATTTCTCGACTTCAAACAATTTTGGCTTAGTGCTTGAGATTTATGTATGATTTTTCCATTCTAGAAGTGAAATGTGCGAGATTTATTGTTCTTTGTCGATGTTATAATAGCGTTTGTGTCAGAGCTGACTCGTCTTGTTTGTCAAATACACTCAACATGTTAAAGTGTCGTCTGCACAGTGCTGCAATGTTCAGCATTGACGTAAGGCAAACACTCTGAGAGCTATAAACTGGATATATTACACTGTTTTCAGTCTATTTTTCTCACCCTATTCAAACATTTGGTTAATTAGTATCCATTTTTTTCCGCGTAGTTTATCTACACAAGATCATTATACAAGGGACACATTGAATATCGTACAAGAGCTAAAATATTTGTATTCATTAAGATAAAATTACTTCTTTCAAGTGATGTTGACAATCTACAATAGTGTGTAATGCTATAATGTCAATTAGGTATAATTTTATTTAAACTCAATCGTAAATCTTCAAGTAGACAATAGTTTGTCAGCTATTTAATCGAAAGCAGACAGTAACATATACTTGAGATTACAGTGCTACTGCACATGAGAGACTGCCAAATACCTGTCCTCAGAATTTTGTTCATGAAAGTTCAGAGGCAATTGCAATTTAAAAATGGAAACACGATTCCATTGTTTGTGAACCATTTCTATATGAACATTTCACCCACAGAGAAAATTTCATCAACACTTTCAAAAGAGTAATACATTGCTTTGCGATAATTTTATATCCATGAACATCATCTCAAATTGAGACATTGAATGGAAATACATGTATTTAAACTGTGTATTGTCTCGCTATTTGTTAAAGTACTCTAGGAAAATCATCAGTTACTAAGGTGAGCATGCTAAAAACATTTTGCTGTGATACCAATATTTCGATCCTTACCTATCAGGTACTTTGGATTGTCCAAAGCTATTGATCAGGAAGAATCCATCAAGTGAAAAAGGTATGAGAAGCATTATGCTGTCCTCTGAAGCCAGAACCTTTGTTATAATCCCATTTGGATTATTCTGATCAAATGCTCTATATTTTTCTATTCCACTTCTGATGAAGGAAAAAGGCGGTGATAAATTATTCAATGCAAATTTATACAAAAATGCAATACTACAACATCATAAAATGGATGACATTTATCATACCGATTTAACCCAAGGTCATTTTTAGCCTTTGCTCATCACCTGAAATGTCACCGTATTTCTAAAAGTCATTGTCAGTATATGTATACTCTAACTCTGACACATGTGCATTAGAATCGGTGATCGCAGAGCACTCAAGGTCCCTAGTCGTCGATAGTCTGTGGCGGCAAAAGATAGTGCTATCTCAAAAGGTCAAAATACATAATTTCATGTACTGTATTCTTTTCATGAAAATCCTCCATAAGTTATAATTCTCAAAAGCACAGTAAAATTTTATGACTACACTATCATAAATCCCTGGTTCCATTTACATCTGAAGGCTTTTATAAGGCAATATCAAACTGTTTCTTCTGAACCAAAATCACAATTTGTAAGTCAACAGCTTTTTTTAAAATCAAAATAAGTATTCAAAAGTCAACAACCTTTTCTAAGATTAAATTCTAAAATGTACACTGTTTAAATCTAAGTAGCTAAAATATTGTCAAGAAGCTTTTCAGTGACCTTGACTCCACTGACTCTTTCATTCAGGCTGGAAATAACTCTATTCAAAAATCAATGAATGTTGGTTTCTTCTACATTTATTTACCGGGAAATTTCATCTCTAAATATTCTGTCAGTCAGCGAAACGGCAGAATACCGAGAGATGTATTAAACATTAAATCATCCAATTCTGTTTTATCAACTGAATCTGAAATCCTTGTTTGATATTATTATCCAGAACCTGAACAAGGTCAGATGGCCTTGTTAGATTGAATTGTAAATGTCAAAGATCGTGCGGTAATCTACATATTTTTATTCTATCAAAATTCCCTACACCATCAGCAAGCCAAATTGGAAAATCCCATTACGCATGTCCGATATTCCTCCCTATTTAAAGAAAAGCATTAAGACCCCTTTTTTATTATACTGTATATCAATTTTCCAACTTTATTGTAATGACAAGTACTTCTAAATAAATCCCAGCCAGAATGCGTAACAAGAGAAGACGGTGAGTATGACATCATTCTTACAGAGTATATATATATGTATGTTACAGTTGCGTGAGTAATACCATCACACGATACCTAAAAGACTATGGAATATGTATGACTAAACACACTACACCTATTTGGGTCCAAGATTCATGAGCCAAAACAGCTTGAAAAAGCCATTTTGTGCAAACACGAAAGAAATTCTCAAGCACTCTCATGAGACTTACCGATAGAAGTGGTTATAAATATACATTGATGAACGTGTCGAAGAAGACAGGGTTTAGTATGCAGATTAGCGGGCAGTACATCAGGTCTATATGTCAGGGTATCGGCACAATTCCCTGAACTACTAGCGTATTAAAGAGAATGTAATTAGGTGTACCTCAATGAGCTCTCCTTTCTAAACAGATCCATTTGTACACTGTGTAATCAATAATTTCTGGTTGGTAAATAATTTTTGACAGCATTTTTTCCCTATGCAATGCTATCTGTTTGAAGGACGACAAGATAGGTTATGTATCAAGAAAACTCCTTTGAGCAATATTGAAGCCATATAAAGAAGGAATGGGATAAAAAGCTTATAAAAAGCAGGAAATATCAATAAATAGCTTGAAATATTTTTAAAAAATCCTACTTAGTCTGTCTCTTTCATGAACATCATATGATACAATTACAAGTTCTCTTTTATTCCTAATTGTTATTTCAAGCAGAATGGTTTGTTTGAAAATCAATATATATTTCTTGTCAAAGGCATATTAAAAATTTCTGATTTAAAAGGATTTGACACATTTTCGTGAATTTGGGTCACTTTTTTATGTGACATTCAAATCAATAAAATGCTTAAAGTGTGTCTGGTTCTTATACCCAAGTTCCTTGCTTCATAACTGTGACTTGACTCTGTTATGCATGAAATTCCTTCCATCAATAAATTGTAAAAGCCATGCTCATTCAACAAGTGTGAATCCATCAAAAAAGAGGAACACTTGAGGATGCTAATGAGCAAATAGTTACCGCGATTTCAGCTTTTAACTTGATCATTTAAAATACCATTTACAGATCAGTATCAAATTCCGGCAGCATGATTCCAGTAATTCCTAGAATCAAACAGTGGAAATATGACAAGGCTGGAAAAAAAAAGCTGGAGTCAGCGACAAAATCTCTTACAGTGCATTCTACTACTGTATCATCAAGTGTTTTACATCTTCTGCAGTCGAAGGAAGAGCAACATAAGACTGACAGTGACACATCTTGATCAGGTGCAAAAGACTTAAACTTAATGATCAACTGATCTGACTTCTGAATTGAAACATGAATTTTTGATGAGGCTACTTGAGTGCTCTGATCTATCATATTGTTTCTTTCTGACACTACAAGATTAAGACACCGACTCATTTTGCTGTTTGTGTTTTTGCACTATTCTATCCAAATACAAGACCAACTGGTGATTAACTTCAGAAAAGTTTTCCGATATTTGACTTAACCAATCGTAATGAAGTGTTATACCGCGACAGATCGGCTGTAACTAACAAATACACAAGGATATGTGGCTTCTCCTGTCGCAAAAATCGGTATTTATTGCCGGAATAGCTCCACGCCTTTTTGCCTACATTAAGCAAACTAGATCATTTATGTCGCGATCTCTTAAAAGGAGTATAAATATTCAAAGTGTTATTGATTAAGAAAAGTGCCTCCCTTTCACAGCTCAAGTAGTTTTCTCCCATCATTATCGTGTCTTTTGTCAAAATGAACAGCAATTAAAAGGCGAAAGATGTGAAATTGAAGTGTGTCTATAGTAAATCCGAAGAAACAGGATCTCACGAATGTATTTAATGTTTTGGAGTCAAACCTGGTTTTTACAATTTTGTTTACGTTTTATTACTCAATGCTACAGCATGTTCTAGTATTTTGTACCTGTTACCTTATATGGATTTAAAGAATTCAATTTTTGTGGTTATGGCAAGAAACCTTTGAATGCTTAAGATTGCGAACAGCCATTGAACAGACTGGCAATCCAACATTTACATAGAAGTAGAACTATTGTCATCCTCAACATAAAGAATTAGTCAAAGCTGATACCTGAAACAGGGTTCTGCTCTTTTGACTTGAAAAAGCCAACATGAATAGGTTTTAGAGAGGCAGTCAAAATGACAGTGTGACTCAATTAAGTGATAGACACAAATATTGGGGTTTCTGTAAAATCAGAGATTGAATGGAAATTTTCTACAATTAAAAGCATCTCCAAGAGTATTGTTTAAATCAATGTTAGTAAATAAGTCAAAAACAAAGTTGAAAGGCAATTTTTTACAAAAGTAGACAAGTCCAAACTTACCTTGCATGGGGGTTTGCTGAGGCAGAACCTGTTCGTTGCTGAGGACGGAAGTTTACGGAGCCCACCTGGGCAGGATTGTTGGTGGTCACACTACCATCGGACTGGGCATGTTGGATAGTCTGTACCATAGCAATAGCTTCACGCTTTAGACCTGACACAGTCGTATTACAAACATCACACTGGGCACTTTTCAGAAATCTCTGAGAGTTTTCAGGCACTTGAAGTTTTTCGGCAATTCTTTCAAAATCTTTAGGAGCCTGAAAAATGAAAGAACAAAGTCTCTCTTAAGAATAATGTGACTACACTTGATAATATTTCTTTATGTTATGTGGAAAATGTGTTCTGCTTGCTCATGGTGGTTCTTCCTCTTGTTTGATCATCAAGTGACCAAATATACAACAGAACAAAATTATTCGATGTCTGGTCGGTTGATTTAGCTGACTTCTGCATAAACAAGTTTTCATATTGAAAACAGCAGTTATAATGAACATTTGAAAAGGTCAGTTATCGGCTATAAAAGCTAAAATTACATTGAAAACATGAACAGAATGAGATATGTCATTCAGATAACAATTAATTATGTAGATTAGCTTATTAACCTATTGCAGTCATTTGAATATTCAATCACATGCCAAATATCCATAATTTTGCCATAAAACACAATAAATGCCACAACTTAAATGTATGAAAATAACGTGGAGTTATCACATGAAATATAAAGAACGTTACATCAAGAATTTGGTATTTTTAAGTTTCAAGTGAAATACGAGCCTACTCTGATTTTGAGACAACAACATAATTCAAGTTTCAAGAAATCGTAACCCATCAGTCAATTCTAGATGTTTTTCTAGTCAATAACTACTAAATATCACATTACTAGGAACAGATATAACCGTGTTTTATAGATGATGAAAATTTATCATTTCATAGTTCCAATAACAAAGTCCCTCAGGAGGATCAGAATGTGGTTTGAAATGTCAGTTGCCTTTCCAGATAAAACTGATGACACAACAGTTTCGCTGCTATGCCTTTATATCAAACATTTATATATTTGTAATTCAACGGAAATTTCTGTTAATAGTTCAGAAAGATGGTTCCATATCAATAAATACTGTTTATACCCTAGCTGTTGTCAATAATTAAGAGTTGTATAGTTTAAGCGATGTCACTTCTAGTAATAACTATTATCAATTCTATTTTAACATTCAAACAATCTCCTAACTGTGATTTAAAGGTTTGGAATAAAAAAAAAGAAGAAATGAATGAAAAAAAAAACCCCAAAAACCAATTCTGCAGAATCAGCAACCTGATCCCAAAATTATCCATTAGCAAGCAAGTGTTAACTCTGTGAAACATGAAAAATCTATACTAATTGTTGTTTGCTGGTATTAACAGAAATGTGAAGTGACTTTTTTTAACAAGTCACCTTGTTTTCACACTCAAAAGCTGAAGTGAACAATTCTCCTGCTTGTATTTGGGATAAAATTATAGATTTACATGTTTGGTCATCTTGCTACATTCCTGTTGTTTCAAATAGAGTGTACAGTTTACACTGGATATAAAACTGATGACGTAATAGACATCTGAATATGAAAATCTTCCTTAAACATAGGCAACGATGGCCTAGTAGTAAAACTGCAAACAAACCAAAAACCTTTGACAACAAAGACCTTGACCTATTTTTTTTATACCTTTTTCTTTATGCTATCAAATATGCTTGCTCATTTGAATAATTCAATTACCAATTAATTTTGTTTGAAAACATATCTCCATGTCAGATCTTCATGACATCACAGCTACGCCTATAAAATGTCAATGAAACTGATTTGACTTGTGCATGTCAAGTCGGAAGGAAGGATGGGTGTCAGACGATTGACGCCATGACAACGCCAGCACAGGGCCAAGAGCTACCACCATGCAGGCACTATAAACACTCAATGGTTGTTGATGGCTTCTAGTGAATTGAATTATATATACAATTTGTCACAATTTCACTTCATCATTCCCTCATGAAATTGATGCTCTTCCCTCGGAAACATATGTAGATTTCTCATCCGTAAATGAGTTGTCTATTATGAATGTCTCTATTATGTGATCCGTCACAATTTATATATACAAAAGAACATTATCATCTCTACAAGAACAGTTATACATTAAAAACTTATATCCTGTCTCTGTTAAGAATGAATTTCCATTTTAAATCTCAGCTTATCATAACAAAACAAACATTAGGAAGTAGGAATTTAGACCAGAGAATCCTGCATTCAGATAGATATAAAGGTTTATTATAGTCAAGAATTAGTGCATTTCAAGACCATATTTCACATTCTTTACACATCTTCATTGCTTTTTTCTAATTCTGCTCCGTAATCAATTCTATGACACACAATAATACTGATGAAGTGAAAGAATCTAGGATGCCAAGGGGCCTAAACTCTTTCACAGTAAGAAATGTGTGTACAATTGAAAAAATAGAACTGGCAGAGAAATGTGAATTTCTATCAACTAAGGAAAAAGCCTAACATGTAAATCTTATACGAAGTCCAAATAATGACATAACCTCAAAGTGTTCACCAGGGTATTGACAATAAATCCAAACCCCAAAACAGATTTCTGATGACACCACACCATTTTATCTAATATATCAAGAAAACACACACTTTTATAAATCAAGGTTCATTACCTTGTGGATATATATATACAACCTGCTACACAGATCATTAAATAAAAACCATGTCGGAGTCAAATAATACATCTGACGAGGCACCTGCATTTTTATACATATATAGACAAATAAATCAGAAGTTTATTTCATTAAAGTAAAACTTGTGATACTAAAATAGGACAATGTACAGCTGGTTGCAATTCTTTTTCTAATTAGTTATTATAACATGACATTTTATCATGTTGCAAACAATTTATTACTGGTTCTGAAAAAATATTCACATGATTTTTCTTACATTTTAAAGTATATCATTATTTCATAACCAATGAAATTATGAACATTTGTGTTATCTTTTGTCAAAGGTTAGAAAGAGTTGCATGATGATGTAAAGTGCGAAGATATGCCAACAAGACGTCACTAGGTATCTCCACAGCTAGCTATCCATATGATATATCTATATCACTAGTGACTTGTACCAGGTAAATGGACAGAATGATTCAAACATTGATTTCAAATTAAGTCCAATTCTAGAAAAACCTGGCAAAGTCAAACAGTGTCCCAGGCAAATGTACCATATACCTTTTAGAAAACAATGTCCTCTTACCAGTGACAAACACAGGTAAACTTTCACTTAGAGGCCATCTCTGTACAAACAATCTGCAAAAATCCTTTCTGAAGGTCAACTGCGATAGCAACCAGAATTTATAAAATTCATACCATGTCTTTAAAAAGGAAAATAAAAAACACGAAAGTGCAAACTAAGCATATATGTCAGAAATTTGACGTGTTTATTGAGAAATATTGGAAAATCTTCTACTACCTCCCAAACCTCAGCCCTCTTGCTTGCTTTGAACAGTTGCCATAGAAATTAGCACAGTCCAATCAAATGATGTAATTAATGCGCTGCTTATCTAATCAAATTCTGGGTCCTATCAACGTTTTTATCAATGGGCTATATTGAAAAAAGAGAAAGCAGACATCGACCCTGATCAGATAGTATTTGTGATAATAAGCATTACCTAATTATCACTAATTAGACAGGTGGTCTCACTCTATGATAGTAATGAAGAACATTTTACATATGTTTGACCTCCTCATTCTAAAACTCATGGACAGGCTAATTTCCTCAAATGAGACAGGTGTTTTCTATAATTCTCTGGTATTTGGCCTCAAATGAATTAAAACGACATCTTTACTTTGATGAAAACGATGATAATGATACTGGTCGTTAGGATTTGTCTGTGTTAAGGCTAAAAGTACTTAGTGTCTAGACGAGTATAAATTTGCTATAGTTTAGATGATCTGGAAACATTCTACTATACTTTATTTCATCTTGATAGTCTTTAAAAATGTTTGAATCTAAAAGTACAAATAATTCTCTAAATAGTCTCTGTACTATGGACAGAAAGTAGCCTCTAACCTTGAGCAGACATATATAACTAACCCACTTTCATCGACATTGCGTGTTCAAATTCTACATGCTTGGATCAATTTAAATAATTCTGTCACAGTTTGTAGATCAATTGTAGGCATGTGTAATTCTAGATGGCCGGTTGAAATAACTCATTTATCACAAAACTTTTCTACACTTACTAAAAAACCTGTCAATAAAAATTTAACGGAAAAGTTAATTATCTATTGACAACATCACAAAAGGGATGTCTTCCTTTAGAAACCAAACTGGGTACAATGAGGTCCTAGATAGGTAGATAGCGATCGGGCAACTCCAGCATATAATTGAATTACAATTTCTAACATAAGCACCCATAGGGTTTGAATTGATTTCATGAACATTTTTTTACAAAATTTTTTAATAATGTTTTTTATGCTCCAACATTACTGATTCATGACTACTTTGCATCTCTATCGTTTTTTCGACAAACTTGATTTTAATGACATAAACATGTCTTAATGCAACACCAAAGAAATCCTTTCACAAGAAGAATTGTCAATTCAAATTTAGAAAATAATGATGAAGATAATTTCAGCTGTAATAATATGGCTATTAACTTACAGCCAGTTTCAAATTAATATGTCAAAAGAAAGTGATTATTTGTAAATCAAAGATGATTTTTTTTGACATCAAAGTCACACAAAAATGACTGTAAATAATACATATCCTTATAAAGCATTGTAAATGTACTGTAAAATATCAGTAAATTTAAAAGAAATGACTTCATTCATTATCTATAAATTTCTTTTACACTAGTAAACTTTGCTCCTATTGATTTTTCATTTGGCGCAATTTTGAATTTATACCAAAGGTTTCTATCGTAAATCAATATATGTTTGTTCCTTTGAAGATGTTTTTTCTATAATTATATCAATAAAATTGTATGAGATGATCTTTCTTCCCCACTGTTTCCTTAATTCAATATTTTACATCTTTGATAAAAGTTGATCTAATAAAACGAATAGTGACTCAACAGTTTGAACATTGTAGAAAAAAGATATTGGAAAGTACTACCCTCTGTACAGTAAAAAATAATCTTCTGATGATGAAATTTTGTTTAAGTCTACCATAAAACATTACACAACTCATTTGACCTAATCAGTAGATAATATGTACCTTAAATTGTTTTTAATTCTGAT